TATGAGGCCCATACCTAAGTTGTAGATAAGTTGTATATTGTTGAGGCGGATTTTATTAAATTAGTTAATTTATATTCAGGATTTCTTGTCAGGTTTTTAGGTSTATTGCGTTAAAATCCTGATTTTTTTAGATTTTTGGGTCGTTTTCTGGCGWYTTTCCAATYAGCATTGATCAATCAAGGATTTCTTGTCAGGTTTTCRGAGCTATTGCTTAAGAATCCTGATTTTTTTAGTTTTTTGGGTCGTYTTCTGGCGATCTTCCGAAATTTTTTGYTCAGGTTTTGCGACAAAACTGCTCGTTTGCACCCGAGAATCGCGAATCTGAGCTGATCGAGCATCGAAAGCTGAGGTTTATAKTTTTTTTTAAGAAATTYCARATCTTTGGGTAACCARACAAGCAGAGTGGAGGTTTGGACAAAAAGGGCAAAAAAACTTTCTCAAAGAGTTTGGAGGAAACATAAACRTGACTGGGATGAAAATTGCTGTCTGATTTTTCAGTGYGCTTGGAAMATTTGAGGAAGTGTTGCCAATTTTTCAAAAAATAGTGGACTRAGTAGGAGTCGATGATAGGAGATTGTTRAGAAAGCGCTAAATTCTTAACTGTGGTGGTTGTTCACGCTGTTGAAYCGCTTGAAGCAAATAGATCAAGCCACTGCAGCCACACTGTGACTTTTTGCTTAGAAAATTGGAAAACCTRATTTTCCYTCTGCATTTCAACGGTAAAAATGTTTTCGCGCGTTGCAACATGACCGCAATTATACAGGATGTTAGCGTTTTCAGACCATCAGCTGCAAAGACATRACAAACTAACTARTCCAAAATCCAAACTAACCCAAAAAACAGCCACTCGCCCATCAATAAATCACTGAAACACTTACTTTGTGACTGTCGCCAAAAATCGTGTTGCTGACTTTGGGGAAATCCCCAGACTGCTCCGGGAAACAGCAACAGAAGCTAGGATGTCCCGAAAAAAAAGACTGCGTTCTTCACACTGTCGCCCGCTTTGGCGTGGTTTGGGAAGAATCGTCGCAACACACCAAAAAAAAACAGTTTCGCGTCGGATTCGTCCGGGATGCGAGAGGACTTTTGCCGCCAAAGTCGGCAAAATGGTTCGAACACTGCAGAGATGTGACGCGAAAAGCGAAACACGTTGCTATGGGAGGTCCATCGGGGCAGCTTCCCGACGATCCTGCGTGTCCTGAAACCGGGAATCCGGGGGTGGGGCGGAGCCTCGGCTGCCCCCACGACAAAGACACCAAACACGGGGCCCCCCATGTCGGGAAAAAAGAGCCACAATGGCAATTCTTTGACGGTAAACCGGATCCGTCTTAATAGTGGGGGGATACGGATACAGTTTATGGCTAAACACTAAACACTTTTTTTACGACCGGATTAAAGCGAGATGGGTTTAATAGATTTGTTTGGCCGCATAAGCGAGAAGGATGGCGGCCCTGATGGGGCTGTGATTTCCTTTTGTTTTGCGGCTCAGCAATCACGATGTCCATGCAATATTTAGAGGTAATTAGACGGCTTTGTGGCCCCTCTTTTTAGTTGGCTTTTTTCACTCGCATTAGCGTTTCAAATCCATTAAGGGCGCTTTCTTGGAAACGTCTGCAACACTTCTCGCACTGAACCCTTGCTCTCTTAGTTTGATCCATTGTGTCTGTGCTTTCCACCAAAAATTCCAGAAAATAATGGAGCCAACAGGAATAAACCAGAGCGCCACAGTGATCCGATTACCAAACCCAACTGAGTTATTAAAAAGTTCCTAAATAACTTAAAAACAATTTTATTCGAGACTCGGTAATCAGCGGATGAATAGAAATGAGACCGAAAATTCGTAAAACAAGTTTCGCTCGTTCGTTAATTAAGTTGCGGATTAAATCGAAATAATCCAAAAATCCTCATCAAAAATAAATTCCCGCTGAAAATCTGATTAAAAACTTGTATAATATTTTCGGAAAGAAAGAATACGCGCCTTGGGAAATGCCTCGCCTAACTCGATCCGGAAGTTTCCGGATAATTGTTTTACTTGTTGGTTATTTTGTGCGGCGAATTGGAATTTGAATTTCGCGCTTTTCTAACTTCACTGCCAGGCATTTAATTATTCAACTGGTTCCAGAGGAAAAAATTCCCCGTAAAACGGCAAAATTGATTTGCCACACACACAATGTTGTGTGAACATAAAGTGCAATTAATTCACACAGCACATTTACTTCGAATAATAAAACCTCTAAAAACGTAAATATTGCATAATTGCGGGCGAAAAATGCTTGAAATTGCCGGTTATATAATTCACTAGGGGCACTAATGTGTTCAAATTGTTACGAATGTATATAAACGGAAAATTAAAAGCTCTGTTGCGTTTTATACGCCGCGGGCCAAAAAAAA